ATTGGTGTACAATTTTTAAATCTATTAGTATTAAGATAAAAACTAGATAGATTAAATTTCCAGCACTATTAGGAATAGCATTCACACTAAAAGTGAAATAAATTAGTGTCAAAGTGTACACTTTTAGAGAGCTACCGAACACGGTTAGTATAGTAATTTTCAATCAAATAGTGTATGAAGTCGCACGAACTGTGTTCAATGTGTTACACTACAAGAGTACAACCTCTAGAGTTAAAACAACACTAAAATTTAGACTAAATTTGAACTCCAATAAAGTGGACCTGCTCAAGCTATAACTAGTGTTCTCTAATGAAGCCTAGTGTGAAGCTTTTTTTTTACCGTGTAAATAAAACACAGCATGATATTAAAGTCTGCATTTAACTCACGAACATTTTTAGAGCGCATCAAACACAATATCATGTTACAAACTATAATAGATCTTTTAGTAAAAGTATTCGCGACGCCATTGTTATCTTCTCTCCTTTTCGGTTGAGGGTGCATTATTATACAGTGGCGTTACATACTTCCCCTTTGGAACTCTGGAGCGTCTCGCAGGGGTTCCAACAATATTAGTCTTCATCGAAGAGTTTCATCTAGCGTACCCTTTAGGAGTTTCTTATACTAGGACGACCTCTCTTCCTTATTGGACGGACTGGGTCAGCCGTGGCGTCTCCGGTGAACTTGATTAGGGCCGAAGCATGATAGGTACCAATAGGAACGGTAGAGGCATCCAAGGTGGCTACTTGGTTCGAAGTAGAAGACACGACCTTGCAGATGATGTAGGGACCGGACCGTCTTTTCTGGGAGCAAACTTCGCCAACTTCCTCTTGACGGGCTTTATCTGCATTGTTGACTACAGTTCGAAGGTCATGATGTACATCATACGGAGTTCTTTGTTTTCTCGCGAATCACAAGTAGGCAGGACTTTAGCCAGTAGATAGATTATGAGTGGAATTTATGGCGAAACTTTAGATGGAAGGGCATCTTTCCATTTTCAGAGATCCTTTTCTACGATGATGGCTAACTGTGTTTTTAAATCTTGGTTGCGCCTTTCTTCAGGATTCGATTATGGATGGTATAATGAAATCAGGTTTTGGAAAACCCTAGGCAGTGTGCTACTTTTTGCATGACCTTAGTGACAAATTGGGCTCCGTTACCTTTCAAGGAGTTCCATATCTCAAAATGACCTTGCACCAGTGGCGGCTGGTGGATTTTGGGTATACCAATATTTCAGTTATTAGACATGGGACCCACACCAAATTTATAATAGTTTATAATGACATTAAATAGACAAGTTCGGCGCAAACAGAATTTAAATTGAAGTTTGCGAAAAAAAGTTAGTTTTTCCTGTCGCCTCACCCGCCTCCAGGCCCCCCTATTTAAGATAATTCAAATTAAAGTGGTGCAATTTATTATCTACTATAATTTATCGACAAATATAAAATTTTATTTAAAAAATCCAAATATTACAGATTTTATTCGATTTTAAATTTTTATTATTTATTTTATTATAAATATGCAATTAATTAATAATAATAATAATAATAATAATAATAATAAAAATGCTTTATTGCGTAAAACAAAAAATTAATTACACAAAAGGCTGTGTTCGTAAGGACGTTCTTCCATACCACCTACCAAGAAATTAAATCTATTTTATTCTGCAAATCACATATTAATCAAACTAAATCCTATAATTTCATACTATTTACTTAAGTTTTAAATATCACACAAGTTAATAACAAATTTTTGTACTCTAAATTAAATGTGTTTGGATAATTAATTAATTAATTTAGAGTAAGGCAAAATCCTTTTTAAATTTAATAAAATCAAGCTAAGAGTTGATGATTTTTTTCATCAAAAGGCGTCTTAATAAAATAATAAAAAACTTAGACTGATACAGACATTTGGTTTGTCTATGCAATAATACATGGGGTAACTTTTTGTTGCCATCTCAATTAAAATATTTATATAAAAATTTGGGCCCACCAGGGCACCCTTAAATATTGGGCTAGAATGGCTATTTTTTTCTAAACATACTGTTAACATGAGGTTATTTTTTGTGGTTACCCCAATTAAAATATGAAAAAAAAAATATTTTGGGCCTCCGGGGCACCCTTAAATTTTGGGCTAGTACGCTCATTTTTTTTTAGAATTACTGTTAATATAAGGTAACTTTTGTGGTTACCCCAATTAAAATATGATAAATAGTAGATTATGTCAAAAGGAGTAGAAGCGACTCTTTTTGTGGTGAGTACAGAGATTGACGGCAACTGTACGAAGCACAAAAAGAGCTTCTACTCCAAATAACATATACAATTTTTTTTCAAGGGCGTAATATAAATAGGATAAGCAATGGAATTATTTTATTTACTCTTAACTCATGTGGTATAAAATTTTGGCTAAAAGCATTAGAAATTATTGATAAAAACTAAAAAAACTTATAACCCTTACTTACAATGCCGATAAATATCCTAAACTAAAAATAAACCCTGCTCTGTCTCGTCTATCATCATAATATTATACTAATAAACTAGTTGTTCTTTATTTCGTTCAATTAAAATTTAATAAATAATCACTAAATATTCCGTGCGATTATAATTAATATAATTAATACAACGTGATTGCTTTGTATGAAATTCTAAATTAATTTTATTATTTGACGTCTATTGAGACACCTATGGATTTACTTCTATCCCTAGGCTTTTTTGAGTTTTTTGTCTGCCGCTAATGAAAAAGACGCACTTCAACTATCTCTATACAGGCATATAAGGTTGTATATCATGGCCGCTTGAAAAAAAAAATATTTTGTGCCTCCGGGACACCCTTAAATATTGGGCTAGTACGCTCATTTTTTTTCTAGAATTACTGTTAACATAAGGTAACTTTTTGGTCCTACCCCAGTCAAAACATACAAAAAAAAATATTTTGGGCCCCTGGGGGACCCTTAAATAATGGGCTAGTACGCTACATTTTTTTCTAATAAATTACTTTTAACATAAGGTAACTTTTTATTGCTACCCAAAAATAAATATCTCAAATATTTTTTTTTACGTTTTTCGGCCCACCCCATTGCACAGGCTGCGGCTGTGTCTTTAGGAAAGGCAAAAAGTTCAATCCACTTGTTGGCGGTGTCTTCTATTGCAAATACCCAGCGTTCTCCGGTTTCTGCTTCTAGAAGGGTCTGAAAAGGTCCATTTCCAGGAGTGCAATCCTTTGGAAAAGAACTGGTGTTTGAATTAAACCAGCCGGTTTCAAGTTGGAGGGCTTTTGCGGATATACAGAAGTTCTCTTTTTATACAATAGTGCTCTTTTTAGTTCCACCCTTATTTCCTAATATAAGAAGTCACATAAGCCAACTAAATGGCTTAAGCGGGTTAGGGTTAGGAACGGACTACGGGCTTAAAGTCCCCTCCGAATGACTAATACACAATAGGACAAACACAAATATTCGAACCCACGACCTATCGGCTTGTAGTCAGCAGCACTGACCTCTAGTCCATCATCGGTGATCCAGAAGTATTTCTGTGATATTCTTTTAAAAGTTTTTTCTAAACGATAGTGTCCAACCATGGGTGTATCATAAAACTCATGTAGTATTTCCGCTACCTGTTGTCGGTGAACAACAACTTGAGCCTTATCAGAATCTGAATAAGACGAATAGCGATAAAGGATATCTTGTAGCATCATGTAGCCTCGATTGGTCCATCTTGCAAAATCTACCATATTTGGATCTGTGGTCTCAAAACATTCAATGATCAAGCGAACTTCAGGGTCTTCGAGCTGTTTATTTCTCGTTTCAGCCAGAGACTTTCTTGGAAGCAACACCATGACTGCGTTGACATCAAACTGAGGTTCAACGTCAACTGGGGATCTAGAGAGTGTGTCTTCAACCACATTCGTACGACCAGGGATGTAGTTGATTCTGTTCTGATCTGTTTTTGTATGTACGGCAGACCCAACTATGTAACTTCGAAACTTATTTAGTGCGTAACCAACAGCAAGAGCTTCGCGTTTTGAGCAGTTATAATTATACGGCAGCTTTTAGTCCGCTTGTCGAAGGATTGGTGCAGTGGTAAAGAAAGATTGCTTATAGGTCTGGACTCATCGGCGAATCTTGGGATAAACCTTCTAAACCAAGAGCATGTCTGCACAAAGCTCAAAATTTGCTTTACATTCTTCGGAGCAGAAAGTGTGGTGAGGGCAGACACCTTATCTGGATCCGGCTTGATTTCCTTATGGTCTATGAGATGGCCAACATATTTGATTTCGGTTTTACAGAAAGTGCATTTGGATTGTTTGACACTCAACTTGTACGTGCGTAGGCGATTAAATACTTCCGTCAAGTGGTTAATATGTTGTTTAAACATTGTTGAGAATATTATTAGGTCATTCAAATATCCAAACATGCTGATGTGTGGAAGTCCGGAGCAGAATCGGTAAATAAGCCGTTGGAATGTGGCGGGAGCTGTCTTCAATCCGAACGGCATCGATTAATAACGAAAAAGTCCAAAAGGTGTAATGAAGGCTGTTTTATCACGGTCAGTTTCATTAAATGAAACTAGCGGCTGCGTAGGTCAAGCGTGGATATCCAATTTGCCTGTCCAGTGGAATGCACTAGGTAGTCTATACGTGGTGTAGGATACTAAACTGATTTGGTAATGGCATTCAGACGTCGATAATTTACTCATAGGGGTATGGACTCATCCTTCTTAGCAAAAAGTACTACAGGGAAGGCATAGGGAGACTCACACTCTTTAATGGTACCCTTTGAGAGTAGCCTGTTCAGTTCCGTACGCAGAACGTCCTTCTTAGCGGTTAAAAGGCGATAGGGTGGCACAACAATTGGAATATCATCTGTTAAAGTAATGCTGTGCTTAGCATAAGGAGTTAACCCGTCACTTCTTTCAAATATGTCTTTGTTGCGTTTCAATAGAGATTGTTGATTTTCATCTTCCTCTTTGGAAAGGCAAGGGTTATAGGACTCCCTGGACAAGACGTCAGGTTCTGTGGACTATGGTTGAACAGATAATGAGGCATTCGAAATACTTATGAAGAGCTAGAGCTATAATTTGTAATCGTTCATCATTAAAATAAGCAATCTTTTTAGGAATGTTTAAAACCAGGTTGAATTTTAAAATAAAGTCAACTCCCAAAATATTTTTGCTATTCGTATGCGATAAGGGGAATGTGTGAAATACACTAAACCGTTTCATCGATTGAATGGTACATTCGAAAATTGTTGCGTCCACTTCTCTTTTTCCATCAGCGAAGATCATATGTAGAGTAGTCACCGTGTATGGATGTCGTTTATCATTTAAATGTTGAAACAAGTTTGAACCAACAATACTACATTTTGCACCAGAATCGACGAAAGCAAGGCCAGTCTTGTCTTCAATGGTGACCTTCACCATAGGTCTCAGTGATCGGTATTCGGGGGTGGTAGTTGTGGAGAGGAACAACGCGACATCATTTTCAGATGGGTAGTCAACCTGAAGGCAGGTTGACAACAATTTTACAAAAGAAATCGGAGCAGCAGGAGGGCCAGGCTTACATTGAGGGCAATTGGAGCGAATGTATCCAGGCATAGCATTCTAGTTTTGAAGTGGACGGTCTCGGAGGATTGGAAACTGTGTATTCCTTTTTGATGCTTTAAGTTTTCGGCACTCTGTTTGAACATGCAATAAGAATATTGGTACCGAAATTTACGAGGTTGTTGAGCTTGATTGTCCTCATTCGAAGATTCTGCGAAGCTGCCTTCGATAGATCGAGCTTTAGTAATCATTTCATTAAAGTCTGTGAAGTCGTCTCTAGACAGGAGTTCTTAAATTCGTTTGTGCATATACCATTTCCAGTTTGTGTTTCTCAGGCAGAACAGTGGTAATATTAAGCTTCGACAAAAGCTCTTGAGCTTGAGATATCAGTAGGTTCTTTCTCACCTTGTTCCTTTGAGAATAGCTCTCTATAGATTCTTTGGGCCGGTTTGTTAAACCCAAATGCACGACCTAGAGCCTCCCAGGCTTCTGTCCACGTTGTATTAGCAGTCTTGGCACCCTGCCACCAAACTCCCCACTGGGAAAGAAACCTTACAAAATATTGCTGCAATGTTCGCCGACTTTACAAATAAAATATTTCCTGTGCTACTTGCATTAACATAAATGAAATGTTACATTTGAAATATTGCATATAATAATTTCCAACAACCTTAAATTTGAAACATTATTTAAAGATTCACATGGAAAGTTTTTACAATGTTATATTTGTAACATTTAGCATAAAATGTTGCATAAAAGTTTTTAAACATAACAATTATAATATTGCAGACATAACTTTTTTTCAATGTTTCAATTGAAATATTAACACAAGTTTTAAATGAAAAATGTTTGCAACTTTACTTTAAATATACAATAGAAACATTTATTTTGGAATGTTTAGGAATATTTTTGAAACATTGCAATTATAATATCTATTACATTGATAAGTTTTGGGCAATGTTTCATCCGAAATATTACATTAAGATGACTTTTGCAATGTTGCTTTATATAAACAATATATATGTATATATATATATATATATATATATATATATATGTATATTATATTATATATGTTTATAAAAATTTAATTTGCAAGAATTTTGGAACATTGTAACTATAATATTACCTTTATAATTATAACTTTAGTTTTGGACTGTTTCATTCGAAATATTGCATTAAGATAATTTTTGCAATGTTGTTTGCAGACTGATTTGCCGATGCATCTCGCCGCTGCCTTGGTCATTTATATCTTTATAAGTGAACAGTCCGAGCTTGATGCGTGTCTCCCGTCACCGACTGCCTGACACTGATGAGACCAAACAGGTCGAAACAGTCTGTCTGTCAGTGTTGGTGGGTATAGCTTACGGATAAATAATTATAATAAATTATTATTATAATAATTCATATTAATTTAATTGCAATGTTCCTGTAATGTTGCAGGAACATTTCATTAACAAAAATAACATTTAGTAACATTGCAATTAATACATTTAAGCAACATTTTATTTGTAAATTTAATGTTCCTGAATCTTAAGGCTTTGTTGCAATGTTTCTTCAACATTTCCACAAGGATTTTTGTAACATTACACCTAACAAATGTAATGGTGCAGGAACCTTACATTAACAAAAATAACATTTAGTAACATTGCAATTAATACATTTAAGCAACATTTTATTTGTAAATGTAATGTTCCTGAGCCGGACATAAGGCTTTGTTGCAATGTTCCTGCAACATTGCCACAAGGATTTTTGTAACATTACATATAACAAATGTAACGTTAAGTAACATTGTAGAAATATTATTTTTCCCAGTGGGTCCTGCTGGTCCATCTAACAACATTGGCAGTCCTTTGACGGCATTGGCGTCGGATATATCCTTATATCCTTAAGCATCTACGAATGCTTCTTCATCTTCATCCTTTGATCCGGAAAATCGGGTTCCACAGTTGGAAAAATTTGCAGCTGCATTTGAATTCGTTGACGCAGGTGGTTAAGTGACGATATCACTCATACCAGCAAGCAGAGCTACTGGGTCGGCCATTTTCTTAACTAAAGTTGTGGACTGAAGTTGTGTACTGAAGTTCTGAAGTCTTTCGCGAACACAACAAAAAGCAACAATAAAATTGTTGTCAAAGCAACGGTAACCGTTAAAAACAATGTAAATTTAAAAAAAAATATTTTTAAAAATTCCCCAAAACCGAAAAATTCTGCACAACTTGGCAACGTTGGATGGTCAAATCACCTAATTTTGGGTAAAATCAGAGGTCTGGCAACACTGCGTCTTAAATACAATTGTTGGTAGCGACACCTATGAGCTAGGGTACGGCACTGCACTTTACAGTTTTCTGTAACGAATCGTCAAAGTTCTGTCATTTATTCCCCGATTTTTTAAAGAATGACTTCACAAATTTTCACTTAATCAGCTAAAATCAAGTCTTTATAGTACTTGCAAGCGTTTTTAACGATCTACAAACAAAGCACATTTGTCTATTGCGTTTATTTAACACGGCACAATGTTGTTCACTGGCTTTTGTGGGGGTGGTTCATAACTAAAAACCCCGGGCACACGTTGGGAGACCCTTTATGTACGGGGCAGTTGTGAGCTACATAAATAAAACACAGCGTGATATTAAAGTCTGCATTTAACTCACGAATATTTTTAGAGCACATCAAACACAATATCATGTTACAAACTATAAGAGATGTTTTTGTAAAAGTATTCACGAATCGTGAATCACGATGCCATTGTTATTATCTCTCCTTTTCGGTAGAGGGCGCATTATAATACAGTTGTAACCTTACATTTTAGTTTTTAATACTTACATTTTGGTTTCACAAGAAATTGTGCTTTACTCTATTTTTGTTTCGCAAGAAATTGTGTTTTAAACTTTTTTTATATGGGTAATGTACACTAGGGTTCAGTGTTAAGCACTGTAATCGTGGTTTATTTAAAGAAATTGCATAATAGTTTGCCTTGCTTTTGTGTTTGACTTGTAACACTATTACCTCGACAATAACTACCACGGTTAATTTATAAGACGATATTGGACAGCAACAATAATACAATGTATTTTATAGCCATGTTACTTAAGTAACATAATAGTTACGTTCTCACATTCAAGCACTAAGCAGCCTATTTAGCTAAATTATCCTAAAATAAAAAGTAAACATATTAAGCGAATGTTGAATTGAATCAGATTTTGAATATTATTTGTTTATCTTTAGTATTTATTCAGGTTACATACGAAGGATTTGTATAATTTGATCGAAACGTCAAAATAAGTTTAGTTATGTTTTCTGACAGACAGTGTTACCAACTGGCGCGATAAAGTATCGCGAGTTCGGGAATTATGTAGTGTTGCTGCATTTACTTGACGCTATAGGCAGGTTCGTTTGATACTATAAAGCCCGTTTAATATAGATGCAAAATGCGAATTGCGAAAAATGCTCCATTGGCGGGAAAAGCGAATTCGCAAGAATTGAATCTAGGTGGCAGGAATCTTGAGATTGATCCAATATTTTGCGAAAATCGCAGTAACTTGGCGTGATGCACATCCGTTTCGCATGCTCATTACTGCAATTGCTTATAATACCTACGCCATTTATGTTTATTTCATTTGTATCGTAGTGTTTGTTTTGTTAAGTTTTATTCGAACTGTTTAAATAAATAAAAGAGCATTGAAAATATCATCTAGTGAGAAAACAATGTTCCTAAAATAGTTCGCATCTAGGGGTGTCAATCCCGGGATCCCGAAAATCCCGGAATCAAAAGTCCCGGGATCTTAGTAATAAGTTACAAAGAATAGAATAAATTTTTTTTAAGTGTATGACAATTTTTATATCATATAAAAATACTTAATTTTTGAACGCAGTTCAAAACTTAAAATATTATACACCGCCGTACAATAATAACACAATTACAGGTTACTGTAAAATAAATTCATGTACATAACCTATAATATAACATATTTCAAACATCAAACCTGAAAAAATGTCACAAACTCGATAATTTCAATGTAAGTTACAGCCCCAATTGGACCTCAACAAGTACTGATTTATAAAAAAAAATGGAATTATTTGTTAATGGGGGTAAACGTGGGTACAATGTGCCTACGAATTCTTGAAAACCTTTGCTCCAACTAGTGTAAGGTCTGAAAGATATCGTTCGTTAGTTTGTTCCTTTATTTTAAATTGGTTTTAATTTCGGGACTGATCCCGGGATCCCGGTATTAGTTACCTTTAGTCCCGAAAGTCCCGGAATTGGAAAAAGGGCTCGGGAATGACACCCCTATTCGCATCTATTAAAATGTCACATAGAGACCCTGTTAAAACCAATAGATTTTTGTATGGGATTGTATGGTGTTTCTATAGGGTGTATTGGTATGAATAGGACCCATTATGGGATTTAGGGTTGTTCTATAGGGATATCCTTCCTTGATTTATTTTCTATCAGTCTCAATAGTGAAAATACACATAAATGTAGAAATTGGTTTTTCTCCCATAGGACCCTATAGGTTTTAACAAAATTTTGTCAAATGTTTTATGGTTGCTCTACACATAAAAATAAGTCCAAAAATGAATTTAATAGTTTTAATTGTACACGTCTCTAGATATGTCAAAAGAAGAATAACAGAAAAAAAAATAATAAAATGTCTTATCTCTCTTTATTTTTCCCCATGCGTTATTTGTTAGTAAACAGTGAAAATTTTGGATTATGCAGTTGCTCGCTATTTTCCACTCTAGCCTGTTATTTCTAGTCTTAGATAAAACATATCATATTGGAACAAATTTTAATATTTAATTAAATATTTTACAAATTATTAAAAAAGCATATAAACAATTAGACGGCTTTTTTTAACCTGTTTGAGTATGTGGAATCATTAATTAAGTTAATATGATATCGTCTCCAAAATGTTAAGAATTCCCTATGCATTGATTCACCGGCCTGCTCAGACCATAAACCTAAGCCATCATTTTCCAAAAGTTGAATGCAATTCTTTACATGATTCAGAAGAACGTGTACACGTGTATTTTTAAGGTTGCGCACATTT